AATGATTTAAAGCATCAGTAACATTATCTTATTTATCTGGAATATATGTGTAACAGGTGGTTCCCACTAAGGCACAGGTCCCACTCTGCACTACTTAGAGTATATCCAAGGCCGTTCTATTTTGTAAAACCACTTGTTTCATTTTGGGTAGTTTCTCGGCTTCAGAAGTACACAGCATTTTTGTGTAGTTTAGTGCTTTAGCTGAGAAGTGGGCCACAGCAGGAACCTGGGCGAGAGCTCCTACCCTGGGGACTAGAATGTGTAGGGGTGATTCCCACCAACATATAGACCTGAGGAAACAAGCTCTGAAGACCTTTCTATTAGTGGGCTCAATGGGCAGAGTTTGTGTGTAATTCTTAGCAGGTAATGCCATCCCATGGTACATCTCCCAGTCCAGTTGTGGGGGAGGTACAGCCACAAGCGTGTGCCACACAGCCATCCAGCCCCCAAAGGTGTAGTGTAAGCTCCAGCTCTTAGGAAGCAGTTTTGTTTCCTATGCAGTTAGAAGGGCATATTCTCACAGTGTGCATAAATGCTGAAGAGCATCCCATTACTGGGGTGGTGGTGGAGGGGTGGAGTTTGCAGTATGATTATGCCTGTGTATACGTGGAGGGGCCTTGTGGTATACATATAACATTCTGTGTTCAGCTATCATCCATGTTAGTGCATCCCAAATTGATGTGTATTGGCTCACCAATGTAAAGACATATCTTTTAGGTTTACCAACTGGAGTTTTTAACAAACCATTTTTTTTTTTAATTAGACCAGCCCCTATTGAATTATACGGCAAATGAAATCTCCAATCTATGTTTTGTTGCCTGTTGTTGAATGTCATGTCCTGTGAAATGAGAATCTTGGGTATTATCGATCCTTTAAATCCCTTTAGATAACATAAGAGAATAAACCAAAAACACCAAAGGCAAGATCACAAAAATTCACTTACCTTTAAGCACTGGGAATCTTGGTTTTAGTTATAGACTGGTCAGAATTTTGTTATATAAAACATAACCATTTGAGGCTAAAGATTTAGAGACTTTAGTATCAGAATTTTTTTATGTGTCATCTCTTCTAAAGAATTTGTCATGTTTTAAATTAAAAGCTTATAAAGCACGTCTTGACAATGGCAGGAAAAGGAAGCTTACAGGTAGTTAAACATTTATCTAGTAACAAATTTATATTAATTTAGATAGAAGCAAAATTACTAAATGAGTCTTAATGTCTCTGAATACAGGCCTGGTCCTTTGTCTCAAAAAGCAGCTTTGTTTTATTTTGTCTTTTTCTGGGCCTGAAAATGAGGTTTTGCTTAACTTGAGTTTGGTGTTAGACACCATTAAGGCACAGCCCTGTAACTTAACAGCACAAGGGTTAGTCAACAATATTTGATTTGATTTGAGGATGTTTGTCAAAGATGTTGAAAGGCTCAAAACGCCTGTTCACAGGTCACTGTAAAATAATAACAATATATTAAGAGCAAATTAATATTTTAAGAAAACCTTACTGTCTTAACCAAAAATTTTCCCCTTTAATTATAGTCAATTTGATCATATAAAATTATTTTATAAATTCTCTTTCATGAACCTTATAACTGGACATAGACCATTGTATGACATGCTTAGACTTTTTTTTTTTTTTTCTGTCCTAAATTTCCCTTTGTTAAATAACCAGCCAGTTTATTTTAGGACAGAAATCTATGGTGCAAGATCCTTCCTCACACAACATTATTCCCTTTTTTTGTCATCCTCCCTTATTAAAATATGTAATATATGTCTGTGTGTGTGTGTGTGTGTGTGTGTGTGTGTATCTATATCTTCGTATCCTTAACTTTCTTCCCATCTCTCTCTTTTATTTACTGGTTTCTTTTTATCTTTTCTTATATACAACATACAATGTATGTATATAAACACATATACAGGCAGATTAGTAGTTTTTACCTCTGAAATTTAGCAGTAAGATGATTGGATCTTATATTGTTATTGACCGGTTGGAACTTGTTCACATGACTAAACTTTAGTTGCCCTAGTAGGTAATGTAATCAAAACTAGAGACTACAGTTTTGGATAAAGCAGCTTCCATGGCTGTTTGAGTTTTCAAAAAGCCCCTTTTACCCTTTTTTTCCCTTCAGTTTCAAACGAATTTTCAATGTTTGCATTGTAGGTAGAACTGGCTGCTCCTTGAATTAGTGCTGTCACAAACAGTGGGTTTTATCTCAGCCCCAGTAACTTAGCAACTCCAGTTTCAAAGTAGGCAGGAAAAGAAAACAGAGAGCTTAGCAGACTCTGCATTTTAACTCTGTAGTGGCATAGCGATCATTCGAGCTCTGGAAGGGTATGGCCACAGTCTCTTCCAAGTCCATCAGGTTGTCAGTGGTGCATTCTCTGACCTTCATGGTTTGGTTTACTGGAGTCCCATCCAAGGTGCATGGTTGCACATCGCATTGCATTGGTGCTTTAGGTTTCACTTTGAACCAGGGGTCTGACTCAGGTGTTTCCCCAGGTTCTTCTTTGACTTCTGTGTTACGTCATTGTTTTCCTCTTCCCAGAGTTTCCATGTGTCAGGGTCCCACCCTGGTTGGCTAAAATAGCTCCCATTCACCATCAGAATTGGTGATGGTGAATTACCGTCCTCCCACCAAGCTTCAGAAACCAACAAGCCAGGCTCTCCATGTCTTTTTCTTTGTTACTAGTTGTAATTCCTCCTTTGGCTTTTGTGTCTAAAGCAACCCCCTGCAGCTATCACCTGTTTGCAAATCTTTATCACACTTAAGCACTTTAGCTTCTTGTAGGGAACACTCCCTTCTGACCAGCATTCTCAGGGCATCCCAGTACTCGCTCATGGTCAGTACTGACCAAGTGACCCAGCAACTCCACTCCACAGGGCAGTCTCCCAGAATCCCCTGAGAAGACAGGATTGCCCCTCAGCTGCCCCTTTCTTTTACTCATTGTTTGTTCTCTCAGATCCTGCCGGCTACAACAATTATTTTGTGAAAATGCCAGGGTAGTATAAATCGCCCCCTAGACTGAGAGGGAACCAAGAGACCAAAGAATGTCTCCAACAAGACCAGCTCATTGCACTGAGTTTATTAGAGGTCACTTAGTGGGGGCTTGTTTCTGGGCCGCACAAGGGTTCCTTCCACAGGAGTTTTCTTGATCACAGCAGAAGTCCTCATCTGGCTAGCCAGTGATGTTGCCTTAAATCCCTCCTTGATGAGTTATACAGACGTTTTTAGATTTATCTTGGCTTGTTCACAGTAGTGTCATCATAGGCTTTTGTGCACCTGGTGCCGTGTTAATGATATTGTAATTTCCTACTAGCTGGGAATTTTAGTATCAGCTCAAGGACACTGTAGGTGTCCAAAGTGGCTCTAATGCAGCCAGGCCAGTTTGACTTGGTCGTTTCTGGAAGGCAACCAAGTTCTGGTGCTTTTCCTACCCCAGTGGATTTCTTGGTACCTGGTTAGTCTACTTTGTAACAACTTTGCTAAGCGCTCCAGGCTCCCACAGTGTTTCTGCTGTGTTCTGAAGAACCTCCATTTTCCTCTGAAGCATTCTTAAGCCCTGTTTGCCCTGAGTCATAGCTGTAGTGGCTTGTTAGTTAAAAATAGGTGCTGGGCATTTCCACCCTGTGACAGGCCCTTCTCTGCCCGGCTGAGGCTGATGCTTACGTGAACATTTGGAGGACTTTGTGGTTTGGCCTATTTCCATCTCGGGATCTCCTGGCCTGGACTTCTGGAACAGGAAGACAGCATTTGGTCAGGGAGGCCACAAGCTAATAACTTTGGGAGGCTCTGGAGTTCACAGTGTTTTCTTAAGCCATGGAAGTGGTTGGTCATTTGCTGTGGCAGCAGTGGCTCAGTCTTACACGGTTAGCAGGACTTAATGGAAAAACACTAGGTTTGAATCAGTGACCAGGATTCAAACTGCGACTGACAGACTCCTCTGAGCCTCAGTTTCTGTTTGTAAACATGTACAACGTCATCTACTCCACCAGGCTGACTGTGCGAATTAACAAGTAATTGTCTGCGTAAAGCACACAGTAGGGCCCTGCACACAGTGGCGCTCGTTCAGTGATACTGCTACTACAGCAGCCACCTCCGATCTTGCTGTCTACTTTTGCCAGTGACACCACAGCTTTCATTAGACATCTAAAGTGAGAATCAGATGTTCTGAAAGGACACAGGAGTGTCCAAGTACAAATCCAGACCTCTCTTCCAGTGTGCTTTCATCTCTTAACCTTTCCTGGCCGTCAGCCACTACTGTATCCTTAAATCACTTCGACAGCTGCCCAAGTAGGGCTGGTAACTCAGGACTCACTAGCCAGGAGAGGACTGTAACCAAGCTTAAAATAGAGACAAGTCCCTTGACCGGTAGGAGGGCTGTGCAGGCCCCCAGACAACAGGCTCCATGATGTCTGAACACCCAGGCTCACCTGGACTCTAGGCAGCTGGAGGCTGCAAACCTCCCTCCCAGGGGACCCCGCCAGAAGCTGTGAGGGTATGTGACCTCAGCCTCTCATCCCCCAGTACCTGGCCAGAAAATACTGACCATTCCTTAGAGAAAGAAAGCCTGGGGAGGATGCAGGGCTGGGCATGGGGAGACAGGGATCAGGACGTAGCTGGTACCTCAGGCTTAGCAGAGCTGTCTCAATCTGGGCTAGTCAAGTACTAGCCTTTGGTATAAGTGGGTGGAGGTAGCCACAGGCGGCTTTCTGGAGGATGGATGAGACAGTCTTGCCTAACAGACTAATGGAAGGGGAGCTCAGAAAAGATAGAGTGTACTATTTGGTTGGTCTTGCTTTTTTGTTAGTCCCCAAACCAGGTCAGTGTGTCTGAATGTGTCAGAGGCAAACCAGAGGTGCTCACAGGGCAAGGCCCACAGATGGCCTCCTACTGAGGGAAGAAACCCAGACAGGGTGACCTTTAGACCTAGAGCAGAGTTTGTCTATATTCTCTTTAAATTGTGTCTGTGCCTGCTTCCTCTGTGGCCTCCTCTTCCCATGTGCAGGTGCCACCATGGAGTCTGACCACTGCTGACCAGACAGCCACAGAGGGCTGAAGTTCTAAGCCTCTCTTCAGGCCCAGGCGGGAGGCACACAGCAGGGAAGGCAGTCTCGCCATGGCGTCCACCAGCGCAGAGAGCCAGCTCCAGAGAATTATCCGAGATCTGCAAGGTATGTAGGTTGCTTGGCATACCGTGTTTGGTTTTGAGGGCTGGTGGCTGTGCTTTTGCTGTTGCCAGTTGAAATTCAGCCCTTTCCTCTTTTTTCACACCGGGGGTAATTATAGCCCTCAGGTCACATCACATGGAAACTATTTGAGGCTGACATATCCACCTTGTGTAAGGCTGGGAGAGCTTGCCTGGTTCTCCTTTTAGAGCACTGTAAAGCCAGTTTGTAAACAAAATTACATACCCCTTCTCCAGGACTGGAGCTGATTTCACTTGTTTGTGTATGTGTTTCCAAACAATCACAAACCTCTGGGCTCTGATGAAGTTGGCTCCTATGGGGAAGACTGTTCTTCCCTCTGAGCAGAAAGGCCAGATACCCATCTGTCTTATTTGCTGTCCTACTGGGTCCTGACTGGCAAATGGCCTGTTCCCTGGGATACATTCCAGTTCTGGGCCTTCTGCCTCTCAGTCTTCCCCAGCAATGGGAGAGACTGTAACTTGTAGCCTGTATGTCATTGGATATAGGCAGGACAAGGCAAGATGAGACAAAGCCTCATAGACTCAGGAGAAACAGATTGTTTTCTTATTGACTGCAGATTCCAAGTTTGACCCTTTGTCTCAAGGGTCAGAATTTTGGTAAGTTTTCTATCCTCCATGATCTCCAGGACTGGTCTTTGGAGCTCAAACATACTTGATACAACGTAGCCCAAAGCCGACCACTTCCTGCATGCCTGCAGAGTCCATGGTGATACTTGACAGACTAAAGGCCCAGGTTCCCAACTGCTCAGATACCATGAACAGTTGTCACTCATACCAAAAGATACCACCCTGGTATGGCCACAATATGGTCCATTCTGAAGGTCCAAAGTGAACAAAATCAAATCACTTTCTTGGGCTTTTTCTCTTGCATCTGCAGTGCCTTGGGCATCTGATAGCTCATAATTAATGGCGTCTGTGTGTCCTAGGCACTGCCTTACATATGTCTGATGGATAGTAATTCATTGAGTCCTCATATCCACATATGGCTATACACTGTTGAGATATACACTGCTGTTATTCCCATTTTGCAGATGAGGAAACTAGCACAGACAGATTAAGTAATTTACCTGAGGTCACACAGCTAATCAGTAGCAGAGCCTGGGTTTGCACATTTGCTATGCTCTTAACCATACTAATCTACTTCCATTTAAAATGTTAGTTGCTTTTTAAAAAAATCTACACAGAGAGGCAGAGAAAGTAAAATGACAACCCATGCACATCTGAGTTTCAGAGTTTTCTCCACAAAATAGGTGATCTTTTCTATTTCAACATCTGCTTCTCAAGGATAACTTTGGGACCCAGGGTCCTTATTGGGAGGGAAGAGCATGAAAGAGAGTACGTCGGGTAGAGCTTCTGATCCAGACCATTGTCTGCCCATGGCCAGTTGAATCCGATCATACTGTCCTACACATAAGCCATGGAGCACTCTGCTGGGAGTTCTTAAAAGGTGCCATTTTCTCAAGACCCTTCATTTTCATCAGTTGGTAAATGTCTTAATCATACAGATCTAGGGCATCTACCATGGGAGTGTGTGTCCTTGACTGAGGGCTTTGTGCAGCACATAGCCTTCACACCAAATGCTTTTGATGACAGCATTTACCAAGACCTTGGAATCAGGCAGGTATGGAGTCAGCCTCTGGCTCCACCTTTTAGAGGTGAAAACGTTGGACAAGTTCCATCACCTTTCCGATGTGTAATTGCTTCCTTCACATGCCAGGTGGGTTTAATGACAACACCTACTTCTGAAAATTATCTAGAGAACCAGAAGTAATGTTATCCGTAACTAATGCATTTGGATTATGAGGATTGAAACTGACAATTTCATATTTGATATTCAGAGGCTTTTAGGAGTTCTCTGATTAGGTTGTGAGTATTCACCTGGCCTGAGGAGGAAGGAAGGTGGGGTAGGAAGGCTTTGTGTCTTTCCCAGGTCCCTGCATTCCTGGCTATCAGTGCCAGCCATGGCAGACACTTCTAGAAGGGCACAACTGGACAACAGTCACTTGTAAAAATCAGTCCCAAGAGCCCTCTTTGCTGACCTTTCTTTGCCTGAGGGGTCAGTGTTGATGAAACTTTCATCCAGCTTAGGCTCAGGTTCAGTCCTAGAAAGGTCTGTTTAAAACTAGGGTATTTGTGAACAGGAGTTAGGGGCTCCCTTTAAGAATTGTTACAGAATGCCAGGCGCGGTGGCTCACGCCTGTAATCCCAACACTTGGGAGGCTGAGGCAGGTAGATTGCTTGAGCTCAGGAGTTCAAAACCAGCTAGCCTAAGCCAGAGTGAGACCTTGTCTCTTAAAAAAAAAATTGTCAGAGAAGATAGTTTTGTCTAACACATCCTGGCCATCCCAACTCGGGAATTGTTTTCCAGTATCTAAGCCAAGTCCCGTGTCTCATAGTCCCTCTGTCCCACAGAAGCAGCAGTGAGAATCAGGGTTTTTTGTTTGTTTGTTTGTTTGGTTTTTTTTTTTTTTTTCCACTTTTCTGCATAGGGAGGTAAATTATCTTAGAAGTTAAGTAGTGGGCTGTGGAGTTTGAAATCCTTTGAGAAAACCGAAGTTCCTATTTGAGTTTTGCTGTTTGCTACCTGTAATCTTTGGCTGAGTGCTCTGACCTCTCCGTAGGCTCATTTGTAAAATGAGAATAATATCAGACTTCACAGATGCTAAGTTGTACTTACTTTTTTCACATTTTAACAGCTCTGAAATTGGGACACATCCTGTAACCAATTGCATCTTAGATTTGTTGAAATAAGGCAATCCCCACTTAAATGAGAAATACACATAAAGGGCTGGCCCCTTAAATTAAATGAGAAATATGCATAAAGGGCTGGCCCCTTAAATTAAATGAGAAATACGCATAAAGGGCTGGCCCCTGTCAGGCGCTCAGTTAACAGAAGCAGCACTTGTCATTGCTGGGAGTTGTCATTACTATTATTTACTCATACTGGGTGTTTCTGAAGCCTGCACTTACCCATACCAAGTCAGTAGGGTTACTGTGAAGAACAAGAAATACCACCAGAGTAAAGGCTAAAGTTTATGGAAGTCAGTATTAGGAGACTAGTGATTCATCCACACAGCAGACAGTTGTTGACCAGCCACTGCATACAGATTACTAGCCCTAGGGGGTGGACATACAGGGAAGAACAAGAAGTGAGCCCACCAGCAAGCTGGTACAGGGTGTCTGGGCCCTCAGGATGTTTGACCCTCTGACTTGGACTTACACCCTGTGGATATTTACACCCCATGCCCTTCTACATTTCCAAGGTGCTGTGTGTCTGGCTACTCACTCCTCATGCTTCTTGAAGTTATTGCTGCTTTTCTCTCGGAGTTCAGTTTCTAACGGGCTACACGTTCCTGTTTGTTGTCTTAAAGATGCTGTGACAGAACTAAGCAAAGAATTTCAGGAAGTAGGGGAGCCCATCACAGATGACAGCACCAGTTTGCATAAGTTTTCTTATAAGCTTGAGTATCTCCTGCAAGTAAGTGATGCCTGTAATGTGTTGATTTTTGCACTGTTGTCTCTTGTTGGCACCTTGGGGCGACTCATTAACATTCACGATGTGGTTCATAAAGCTCAGTGGAGCCATTAAGCCCGTGTGAAGGGCAGAGCTGTTCCCAGTGATAGCCTGGGATATATGAGTTAAACTATGAATAGATTAAAAGAAAACTTCCTGGTTTGGGAACTAAGAATATACTTCTCACAAGCTCGCAGGTGATGCTGATGCTGACACTGCTGGTCCACGGCCCGCACTTTGAGTGGCAAGGCTCTAAAACAGGGTCCATGGATAATCTGCAAGGGTCTACACACTCGTAAAAACTGTGTGATTCTCTGAGAAATCAGAATGTTGCCCCTTAGGATGGTTTTGGGAATCAAAAATATTCTTTAGACATTTAGGTCATCTTAAGTTAGGTCACAGGTCATTGTATAACAAAGATCTTAACTTTGGGGCAGTTAAACATATACCCTTTTTTTTTTTTTTTGAGACAGAGCCTCAAGCTGTCCCACTGGGTAGAGTGCTGTGGCGTCACAGCTCACAGCAACCTCCAACTCCTGGGCTCAAGCGAGTCTCCTGCCTCAGCCTCCCAAGTAGCTGGGACCACAAGCACCTGCCACAACACCTGGCCATTTTTTGGTTGCAGCCATCATTGTTGTTTGGCGGGCTGGGCTGGATTTAAACCCTCTACCTTAGGTGTACGTGGCTGGCGCCTTAGCCACTTGAGCTACAGGTGCCGAGCCAAGCATATACCCTTTTGAGAGTCTGGTAATAGCTATGTAGTATCTCCCCCCAAAAAGTGTGTGTTTCTGTGTATTACACTCCAGTTACACATTTTTGCAGGCAGTTTCACGAGTGTGTAGAGTTTAGGGGTCCTCAAACTTTTAAAACAGGGCCAGTTCACTGTCCCTCAGACCATTGGAAGACCAGACTGAGGGCCCCAGAACGAGTCGGCTGCTAAGCAGGACAGGCAGCGGTGGCAAAAACACCCAGTGGGCCGGATAAATGACCTAGGTGGGCTACATGTGGTCTGTGGGCCGTAGTTTGAGGACACTTGATGTAGACCCTTGCAGATTATCCATGGACCCTGTTTAGAGCCTTGCCATTCAAAGTGCGGGCCGCGGACCAGCAGTGTCAGCATCAGCATCACCTGCGAGCTTGTGAGAAGTATATTCTTAGTTCCCAAACCAGGAAGTTTTCTTTTAACCTATTCATAGTTTAACTCATGTCTTCATATCAGGAAGTTCTGATGTACAGAACTCTGCACATGTGGAAAAATTCAATTAACTGAAATAGGAAGGAAATCCTCCAAAAATTATTTTGGGATGGAGGTAGTAGGATTACAATTTTTTTTCTTTTGTTTTCTTTTTTGTATTGCATGTAGAGTTCCTAACAACATATGCATATCTTGCTTTTATGATAAGAAAAAAAATGCTATAAAATGTTAGAGAAAGATGTACCTGTATTATTTAGAACACCATTATTTTACAGTGTTCCACTAAAGCATGTAGATGAACGCTCCCTGGAGGAAAGGTCCCCGTTGTGCCGAAGGGCTCACCTTTCTCATGACTTTCTCAACTGGTTCTTTAACATTGTGAAAATGTTTATGGACCTTGTTTTTTATTCAATTAACTCATTTTAGTTTGGGATTTAGAATGGCTCTGAACTCACATTTACTTGAATTTATTATCAAATGTTTATTAAAACAGTACTGAAACTTAAGAGTTGAGTAACTGGGATAAAATGTCATTACGTTATTTCTCTGAATTGGAGTATAGTTAACACTCTCCAGGTTGCCCTTTAGACTATTCACTTGTAATTCTTTCTTATGTATTAATAGGAACTTAATAACTCTATGCACAGAGGTCCCTTCAAGGGATAAATAATAGATTAATAGATTAATAGTAACTCTATGCACAGAGGTCCCTTCAAGGGATAAATAATAGATTAATAGATTAATAGTAACTCTATGCACAGAGGTCCCTTCAAGGGATAAATCTTTTGGGGTCATTATTATTCCTGAATCTCACTAATTGTATAACCTTGAGCCAGCTCCTTAACTTCTGCTAGCCTCAGATTCCTCTGTAAATTGAAGATTAAAACACCCCCATTTGGGTGAGGTGATTTTTTATTTAGTCAAAAATCTAGATTTTGGATCCAGCATCTAGATTTTTGACTAAATAATAATGCCAGTGACCCGCCCCCCACCCCCAGTGCCAACACCTACAAAGCTATTGTTACTATTTATCATTTAAGTGGAGGAATGAACAGCACTGGGTTTGGACTTCCTCTCTCTGTCGCTTTCCCTGCCCAGTTCGATCAGAAGGAGAAGGCCACACTCCTGGGCAATAAGAAGGACTACTGGGATTACTTCTGTGCCTGCCTGGCCAAGGTGAAAGGAGCCAACGACGGGATCCGATTCGTCAAGTCTATCTCAGAGGTAAGCTGAGCAGATCACGGACCTTGTGTCTTCCTCTTGCCTGTCTTAAGCATTTCCTGCAGAGCCAAGTGAGGAAGTGGGGGTTTACAGGTGGTGGAGAATTAAAGAAATCCAGTCCAGGTAGACTCAGTGCTCACTGTGCTGTGGTTCAGCCTCAGGAAACCCACTTTGGCAAGTGCTTCCCAAGCAGAGGAATGCTGGGTCCTAAATGTGCATTAGGCCACACCCCACATGTCACCTGATGGGGTGGGCTGCTCACCTCATAAATCTCTGCTCATGGACCCCTTGGAAGGTGTACAGCACAGGACACCTCTGTCTTTTTTAAAAACTCATTTTCTTAGATAAAATTCTTAGAGTTTGCCAGGCTGCTTTTTCTACTGTTTGCCAAGGACATGGATTTGAAGTGAGACATTTTTTAAAATGCTGGTGTGCTAAGGAACTTCCCACATTCTGTCCTGGATCCCTAAGAGCAGAATGCCATGCTCATGTCCTTTTACAAAAGTCCAGAATGGGCTCAGTGCCTGTGGCTCAAGTGGCCAAAGCGCCAGCCACATACACCTAAGGTGGCGGGTTCAAATCCAGCCTGGGCCCACCAAACAACAATGATGGCTGCAACCAAAAAAAAAAAA